TACAGTCTATACGGAATCACTGTTTATAACCTTTTAGCTCTTCGAAGGAATATATATAGAAGAGAAAAAGTTTACTTTATGAAAACAACATATAATGTATCTGTATATATATATATATATATATATATATATAGAGAAGTCGGCCATATTGAATATTAGTTCGCTCATGTATATTCGCCCAGGTGGCGCTTAAAACACTGTTTTAAAGCAAAAGCCAGGAGTTGGTTATCTATTTTATTATATCATCTGTGGCTCTGCTCTCACCTACCACACGTATCTCTCCGCGCCCCCTATTCCCTAGCTCGCACGACAATAAGCCCAGAAATCTCTAACTATACCCAGCAAACGAAAAAAGATTGAAAAGAATTAAAGGAGGCTCTTACCTCGATCATAATATGACAGATCTTTATGAAATTAATATATGTTGTAAAGTGAACCACAACGGACCGATGCCCAAAACTTGAGCATAGGTTGACGATAAAAACTGTAAAAATATCAGTATTGAAATTCGCATTTTTAACACAGGGCATATGGTAAACACTAAAATTTTTACCGGAAGTGATGTATTTTCTTGGCAAGTTTGCGAGCCAGGTAAACAAAAAACTAAGGAATTGTAGTTAAAATAATAATCTTTCTAATGATAAGAAGAAAACTTGGTGTTGACGATTAGTTATAAAAGATATTGTAGTTTTAATATGACGTACGAGAGGTTAGGACGAATGATCTTCCGAGTGTCAAAATCGCGCGAAGTTTCAAATGTTGTATTACACGTAAATAAGTAAAATGCGTTTTTTAAACATCTTTTATTCATTTTATTAATTAAGTAAACAAGTAAATATTATATATATATATATTTATTTATAAATATATATAGTTATACATAAACACATCAACTATACTTATCATAATTTCTTAGAAAAATATTATTTTTCACAGCTTTCTTGCAGAGTAAATATATCACATATTTTGTCAATTACTCTCTTATTATTGGTAATTCTTGATTTTCCATCAATACTTTGGCTTAATAAAATGCGCAGACCATCAACACCGTTCTTTTCATAAGTTTGCTGTAATACAGACTTATTTATTCCAGCTTTTGACATTCTTAGTATCATATGACTAGATACGTTATTTTTATACTCTAACAATGTCGACTTATTTTGCAACTCTATTAATTTATTTTCTTCTTTTTGTAGAAGGAAAGAAATACTTTTGGCATTGTTAACTATCATCTTTTTTGATATATTTAGTTTTTCAATAATTTTATGTAAAATTTTTACGTCTTCAATTGCGTTATGTAGATTTTGTACATCAAATGAAGGTAGAAAATCTTGTGCAAGACTAGCAATTGAAAACTTTTGTTTTTCCTTGACTCTTTCGGGAAGAACGCATTTACTAATTTCCAGTGAATCTGCGAAACCTTTTACACATGAAGAAAATGCTTGCATTAATCCTACCTTCTCAATTAGTTTGATCAATCTTGGTGCATCAAATCTGCCAAAAGAATAATATAAAATTAGATTATAATAGAGGTTTTTGCTAACGATATTATTCATTATTGTTATGCTGTCGATAAAAATTGCAAAATATTCTCCGTAATACTAACTTGAAACAATTGTGTGCGATTAAAAGACATTGATCGTATTTTCGTAGGAATGAAATAAATTGATTCACAGCGTCTGTAGCTGATGTCGATATCATTTTTGTGCCGTGTAAATACAATTCACCGGACATTGCGTGGAGACCTGTTACAGCTGTTGCGGTTTTGGATATTAATTGAGTGGGCGATATGTACACGGAAAATGTTTCATTTTCGACGTATGCCGCAATCTAAAAATAAAATTAATATTCGTAGTACATCAGATAATATAATAACTGCGAAGATTAGTTATGCACGAAATCAATACCTGCAATATTTCATCTGATTTAGCAAAACCAGCTGTTTCTAAATCAAATACAACAATATTACACTGAGAAAAATCGGTTATTTCTGTAAGATTTTGAATATTCTGCATTTGAGTAAAATCGTGCATAGCAATACCAGATTGGTATGCAACTCCTTCTCTGCGCACGCTGGTAGCAACTTTTCTCGTTCTTTTTTTTTTTTAAAAAAGTCTTTGCTTTTTAAACTGTACATTACCTTTTCTTACTTTTTCTTTTTGCCTTTTTTCATCTTTTGCTGTGCGATATTTCACAGATTTTTTTCCTGGTGATAATTCCAGTTTACGAAAAACGTCATTTGCATATGACGAACCCAGATTTTTCTGACATATAGATGCGCCTATCCTAAAACTAAGGGATTCCGAAGCAGCGTAATGTCTCGCTTTTGGAGTTTTTGAGGCCACAATATTGTTCATTGACTCGTTTTCTTGCGAAGAGCCACATTCAGCTAATTTTTCAGCACAATCTATGTACCGATTAAAAATTTGAGTCAAAGACAAACGAAGTGCCGAGTCCGAAAGCGGTTTACCATTTGGTAAATTGTTGTGCTGATATTTCTCTCCTGCATCTTGACTTCTGCACCAATCTCCACAAAAATCATGCTGTCCAAAAGAATGAGGAACCACTGCAGTAAGAGCATCTCTAATTTTTTTTGAATTTCCTTTATTTTGTTGAACAGAGCATGAAAAATTTTTAGAAAAGTATGAAATTAAAGCACGAGGTACTTTATAAGCATATAGTGCATTATTAAAATTTTTGAGCACGTGGTTCCAATCAGAGCATTTCTCAATTTCGTGAGAAGCTACTTTTCTAACAGATGCTATAGTGCTGGAATCGTCATCCCCAACTAGAACATTAACGTCAACATTTTCTTCTTTGAAAAGAGGATTTTTTGTTATCATTTCAACTGCCATATCCGACTCCATAGCTTTGGCAGACCCTTCAAAATTTTGTCGGCAATCGTGATCATCTTTTGGGTGTCCTAATTTACATTTGCGACAATCTTGATTACGAACAGCATATGAAATAACTTTACCTGAATTGCAGCCAATAAGAATTGCGTGCCCTACAATAATCAATTTTTTTACAATTTATTTCTTTACCAATAGTTTTTTTCAAATAGTTTGTGTATTATAATGTCAGGGTCGATTTAATTAAACACCCACCGGACAAACTGTTATAAGCTCGTCCATTGCCTCTTTTTTGCCACGCACCATCAAACGACGCTTTTAAATAAATTTTATTTTCAGGTGATGAATATTCTTTATTATTTTCACATGTGTCCATTCTATATATTAATAAAAATAATTAATTTTACAAATGAAAAAAAATTGTATAAATTTTATTTTTAAGAACTGAGGAATGAGCAAAAAACAGAAAGAAAAATTAAGTACATAATATACTTTTTATGGTACATAATCATTTTTATTAATCAATGATAATAGTATATTTTATTATTATTTTAAATACACAAGTAACATTATTACTGATATTACTATATACTATATACTATAAAAATAAAAAATCGATGTTACGAAGTAAAATTGATTGTAAATATAAAAAGTTTCACTATGTAAGTAAATTTAAAAAAAATAAAGTAAACACTAAGCCACAAACTACGAAAATATATCCGCTGAAATTATGTGATACAAAATGAGTACACTTATTAGTGTGTATTACTAGTAAAAAATTATAAAAAAATCAATAAGTAATACAAAAATTGATTGATATAAATGTGTCAATAATGAGAAAAAAAATCATTATAAAAAAAAGATACATAATTAATTATAAATATTCTCCTGTATATAAATAACAACATACTAAACTTACAATAGTACGTCTTGAGATTCATTCACAGTTAAATTTTTTTCTAACTGAATGCCTTTTAAACAAGATTCTTTAGCAACTTCTTCTATAGCCTTACCAATTCTGCGTTCATGAATTTTCAGAGATTTGGGTGCAATTGAGGGCAGATCTATTGACGTTAAGAAAGTATTTAAATGGGTTGGCCCAATTCCAGCATCAATCATTCCTGTAAATAAATGTTGCGATTAATAATAGAGTAATTTTATGCATAAATTAAAATAATTATTTTCGTACCGAATGCTGCTTTTGTATTTACAATAAATCCTTCATTTCCAGGTAACTTATCATCGGTATTTACTGTTCTCAATCTCCCACATTGAGAACATTTGACCTTGAAAATACTTGCCAATCCAAAATTTTTTTCACTAACTGCATTATTTATTGATAATGCAATGTTGCAGCTAAGGCACCACAGTTGTTGTCCAAATACTTTTAAATTCACTATCCGTCGAGACCCTAATGAATCCTCTGCATGCAAACATTCCGGAGAATTGTTTTGTACCTATATAAACAATAAGTTTCAATTATTTGCCAATCAAACCTTGAAAATCAAAAAGTAAACAATGTTAATTATTCTTTCTAACCTCACTTGCACATGTCTTTT